TTGTATTTACTAGGACATGATCCATAAACATTTTTTGGAAACAACATTTAATAGTTTATAATATCAAAAGACACCATAGCTTTACTGCAGATTAAACTAATGCAAAATCATGTAGTTGTCAAGACGTTGCTTTGAAATCAACACATAAGTGAGAAGTTTGATCTCACTCTAATTTACAGCTTAAAATGTTCAAGGTTTTTAGCCAGGCCTAAATTGCAGCTATGCTTTCAGCATCTTTGGACAGGCTTCGGTTACACGATATCAAAACACAACCAAACACATGTGTGTTACTGGCAGAGCAACAGAGAGCTGCAGAGATTCTGCAATGAACTTGAGCTGGTCGGATCGATACCTCCCTTCTTGCTGGAGGAGATGCGATTAGCTTAACATGCGGCAACTCTTCCACACTCTCTCTGTTCCACCAACACAAGAAAATATTCACAGACACTTACTGTAAGCAGACACAGCACATTTCTGTAAACAAACACCTGGTTGCTGACAGACACACACACACAACATCCCACTTACACCCTAGAGAAGATCAGGCCTTTGAGCTGTGCTCCACGTAGCAGTCAGTGAAAGTCGTAGTGACTCAGCAGTCAGACAGCAGTGAGGGAGAGACAGCGACATCACTCAAGTGACGGTGGGGACATCGGACAACAGAGCAAAGTAATAAAACCATTCCGTTAAAGTAAAGGTGACAGTGATAATCTATGCTGTCTGTCTTTGTGATCATTGTCTATCAGCCTTGGAATTACCTGCCACAAATCCCTTTATGATGCCTGTTTTCTAAGATTTATTATTTACCTCTGGACCTAAATGAAAAACACGTGTGCTCCGTTTAATGTCATTGTGCATTTTGTTTTTCCTCTCTTCCTTTATTTAGCTCTCTTCCCTTTTCTCTATCTCCTATTCCTTTCACGATTGCCTTCATAATGAGGTCAGAGCATTAGTCCATTACTGGGTCACTTTTAACTGCTTTTGTAACCCCTTACTAGAGCAAACACACTGCTCCTTACACTGTATCTATAATTTAAAAATAGAAGGACTCTTTTTTTTTCATTACACTTCTCAACATTTTTCTCCCCTGAGAGGAAAGTCATTAAATGACATTTATTGTGTTTTAATGCACACTTATGCCTGAGTGCTCAGAGTGCAACTCATCTGCTTTTTGTCCACATGGCAACTTGTCTGGAGGTTTCAGTCTTCTTGTATTCACACAAACAATGCACACACACACACACAAACAATGCACACACACACATTCAGCTTTATATATTGTTTTAAATGGAACCTAATTGAAAAAAAATGACGACATGTTGAGGGGGTAGTAGTAAGTGAGATTCATGATGTGTTGAGGACATGAGGTCATATATCATACTTTGTGCAGCAGGCGACAGAAGTTGCCATTATTGGATCAGCACTGCTTCATTAAACCTCCACACGCCGTTGGACAGAGAGATGAAGGGAGGGGGAAGGAGAGAGAGAGAGACTTGAGAAGGAAAAGTGAGGACAAAGCAATAGAAGGAGGCTTATCACTTAGTGAAGGAAGGGAGAGAGGTAAAATAGTTTTATTAAAAGACAGAAGGGGGGCTAACGTGGAAAAGAAACAATGTAAAGAAACCTCAACCATCCAAAATGCTCTCTAATGATTTTCTTGTTTGTTTCAAGCAGATAATCTGCCTTTGCCTGACAGTTTCCTTTCAGTGCTGTCAACATTTCCCCAGAAATTGATGCGTTAGGTCAGCAGCCCACCAGATTTTACAAGTTCCACAGGTTGATTTCCCAACATTTTTCTATCAGTCTAATCACAATGTAATTTCCCTGACATCTCTCATTGTCATTCTGTTTGATTTAGTCAAGATTCAGAGCAAATGGCATCAACAGAAAGTTATGGAACCTAAAAACTGTCACAACTTTCAAAAGTGCACATTGAACTGAGCAGCACTTTTTTGGGGATGAATGGAGATCCGTTTGGATGCCATAAAAATAATTAACTAAAAGATAAGATTGAAAATTAGTATGACCACCTTGCGGTCTAACCAAGAGTTGCAACCAGCTCCAAGTAACTGAAAAGAAACTAGCAAGGAACAACCATTCAACTAAGAGAACCATCCTTTATGATGTCTACATTACCTTATCTTTTAGTTGTGGGCATATCAAATATTTAGATAGGTTATTAATAATAGCTCAGGCTTTGTTGAATAGAAAAAAGATTTGGCATCTAAAATAGATTAGGCACTCCTTTACTTGATATAGGTATGGCCAAAGGAAGGGACAGCGTCAGAAGCAATCATTGCAGTCTATATATAGACTTATTACTAATTTAGAAAAAAAAACTGTTCAGAAGCCTTAATTCACAAAGAGAGGGTGCCATCTGGTGGGTGTTATTTGAATCGCACTTTTGTATCAACATAATGGTCCAGCATACGTGTTGGGTCTCTGAAAGAAAAAAACTCGACACCAAAAAGCTCCTGAAAACTGAAGTTATACATTTTTATGAGTGTGTAATTTAAAAAAAAAAAAAAGAGGAAGAAGACGGCTGAGTGTGAACATGCACGTGGTCTGTCCTGTGGCTCCTGAGCACTGGAAATACAACTTGCTGACAGCAAAGATGGTGTAATCCCGCGGCAACTTGAGCTTTACTGTCTCATCAACATCTTCTGTTTTGGCTGATTAAAGATCCTTTCGGATTATATGGGATAAGGAAACATTACCAGTGTTAGAGAACTCTGGGGTCATTTTAAGGACTAAAATGCTGACATAAAACTTTACAAAATCGTCCTTTAATTAAAGTATTGTGCCAACAAATCACACAATTCCTCATTCTAATTAAATAGCTTGCTTTTTAAAAGACTGCAGCCAAGTCACGTTTAGATTCTATCAGTTATTGCATCTCTATCTCAATTAAAATCTTTCCTCGTAATTGGAAATTTCGGCAGGCAGGACAAACTGATCCATCATATATAGAGAGAGATAAAACAAGATTTTAATCAATGCTACAGTATAAATGTAGCGAATTGCTGGCTGGAGGGGGGGGGGGGTTCATAAAAATTACACATATTTTATTTGAAGACAAAAATCTTTAACTGTACACGATAAAGACCTATCATGTTTGTAATGTGAGTTTAGAATACTGCATTAAATTCCTACTGTTTTTGTGTGGTGGCTGCCATGTATCTTTACTTCATCCTTTGTGTGGTTGTAGTCAGCTATGACTGCTGAAACAGAAGCGCTTAAATTAACTAAAAGGTGAAGCCTGCAGCTCATTAGCGTTAGCTTGGCAGAGAGAGTGGAAACAGCTAGGCTTTTTCTTTTAAAGAAAAACAGATCGCAGGCAGAAATTTTATTTGTCTGCAATGAAAGAGAATTTCAAGGCATTTTATTTTCAATTACAATGTAAATGAAAATAAAATGCTACAGCCTCATAAAGGGAGAATAAGAGGGTAACAAGTTAGGTTTCCACGGGAAACAACGACATAATTATATTGTAAGTAAATTTAAGTACTGTGTAAGCAATTTTAAGTAGTGTGCAATTTTATGGTAATTTTGCAGTAAAACAATATTTACACATTTCAGATACCAAATTTACTGTATTGTACTTGTTTACCTTTTAATGCTGCTCTTTTATTATATGGATACGAACAGAATGTGTTGGCCTACCTGTCAGGCAGGTTGGCAGATTACAGATGCCTCAAACACAACACACTCACGCTCCTCTCTCGATTCAGGCAATGTTTTAATGCTGCCACTTTTAGCCACGACTTCTAAGAGAGGGCGCCATTGAGCCAAAAAACGTCGCAAATACATCGCTGTTATTATGGGAATCACAGTGGAATTAGATGCAACAGTAACACTGTTGCAAAGGTAACTTACAAGAGAAAAAATTTGCAGGTCTGTGGAGCCAATTGAGTTTTTCTTTCACAATCACTGTTGAAAAATACAGTTCAAAAGCAGAGTACAGGAAAGCAGTGTCCCCTTTCCTGAAAAAATCCCTGTTAGGCAAGGTTATGTAAAATGGGTAAAAATATCTTTTGTTTTGCTGCAAAATCACCCCAAAACTATTCAATGCTTCAGATTATAACAAACTACTTAAATTTACTTAGAGTATTATTATTTGCTTCCCATGGAAAAAAAGACTTGTCGTGCTCTAATTCTAGTGTAACAACATTTATGCATTTGTGGGTAAATATAAATAATTTCAAATAAAATTAAGTATTATGAAGTGTTACTGTGAAACATGTAAAGGTCACTTGTTTAACACTGAATATTCTGCTTAATACAGCATGTCAAACATGTGGCTCGGGGGCCACAATCGCCCCACCAAAAACTCAAATCGGGCCCACTGGAAGGCTTTGGAAAATATGAACAAAGACAAACATTTTAGACTTTTAGCTGTATTTTTGTAAGTTTTGTAGTTTTTTAAATGATAAAAACTCCTGGGATCAATCATAATACGCCAGACTATTGAAGTCATTTGATGTCAATAGATCAACATTTAAATAACATGTTTTTTTATAGTTAGTTTCAACAAAAAAGAAAGAAAAAAATTAAAGTGAAAATTACTCACAATTCAGTCCCAAAGAGTCATTCTGACAGATTTCTTTATCGTTTACTGTAGAAAAACAGAGACATGTTGTTGAAATAGTGCTTATTTTTTCTTGAAGATATAACTGAGGGTTTCAGTGTGCGGTTAAACTTCTTAACAATGACAGAAAGGGAGGTTTCACTGGTGTGGCTCAAAAAGGTCAAAGTGGCCTGTATGTGGCCAACAATGTAAAATAAGTTCGACATCCCTGGTTTAATACAAAAACAAAGATGAATATGTTGCGTTAAGCTTCATTTAACGCTTGTGCTACACACAGCCAGGACAGCCGTTCGCTGCTTGTTTCGCACAGAAACGAGCTCTAGCATTGTAATTTGTGTTCCCTTAAATTACCCAGAACATCCCAACCTTGAGCTCAAATGAAACGACACATTTTAAACAAATTCTCCTTTACTTGAGTTCATTTGTAAATTTTTATTACATTTTTTTTATTCATAACAGCAAGAATCAAATATAGCAATGCAGGCCCCGTGAATAAAATGGGTCACGTACTTTTCTCTTAACTCCACACATCCATCAGTGTTGGCACAGCACACCACAAGCTATACTAACTACCTCCATGACTGGAATTATTGCATGATGCTATAGTTAATCAAAACCAAGGCAAACACAATCCTGTGAGATCCAGAACATACCACACCCCAACTCTTTATAATTTTTCTCATATTTCATTCAGATGATTGGATTTTATGGCTTTAGACTGTTGCGATCAGTAGTTTTCTCTACACACGCTTTCCAGACGAGGTGGCTGGTATGCAAACATGACGCATCCTTTCAGGGGGCCCGGAACAGTAAAACAAGCAGAAACAAACTGCAGCAGAAGACAGAATACATCATCTTAGCACTACAAGCAGAGAAAACAAACAACAAACCAAAAAAAGTTCAGTTTACATTATATCATAAATGTAAGCATGCGTGCTTGTAGAAGATGAGAGGTGACTAAGATGATCAGGACAAAATTTCAAACTAACTGGTTAATAACCAAACTACGAAGCAGTATATCATTCTGCAGTTATTCTTAAATTCTGACCTGATGTTGAACTACGATCGGGTTCGGTCAGTTTCATCTACTAGAAGCACAGCTTACATAAACATAAAGAACATACTTATAGCTATGGTGTTTGTGTTGCATGTATTTTAACTCTCCAAGTGGTGAAACTTTAGTGAGTATATTCTCAGGAATCTTTTTTTTTTAAATAAACCACTATTCTATTTTTATATTTTTTAATATATATTTTATTCCATTACATTGATAGAATATTGTATACTGTAAATACATCTTTCTGTGTAAATGTTTTCTTAATCAATAGTACTGTGTTGTGATTTCTTTTTTTAAACTGTATATGTATTTCCTTTAACATGCATTCCTCTCTGAGTACAGTAAAGAGACAGGACGTGTTGTGATTGGTTGGGCCTGGGCGGGCGTGGCCATGACACACACCTGTGCAGTACAGGCGGGTTGGGGGACCAGACAAACCCAGTCAGGCCCTTACCCTGGAGGGTAGTGGATGCCTCCTCCGGAAGGTTACCTGGCAAACTACAAGCTGCTGACAAAAAAGAAGAGCAACACTTGGCCTTTTCTGAAAGGGGTAGGAGAGTGAGAACTCGGTGCCCTTTTGATGCAAGCAATTTTGTTCAGCCTTTCATAAGATTTTTTTTTTGTTATCCTAGCAAAATTCCTTGTCTTGATAGACATTATTTTTTTTATTCAAAATAAGATCTCAATATACATGATTCTTTCTTTTTTGACTATGTACAGAAGTGCAAAAAAGTCAACCATTATCACCTCAAGATTCCCCACCCCACCCTTGTTGTTTGCAGATGGCTGGGTAAGAAACGAGAGTTCAGACTCGGTTTCCTACTCGCCACGTTCACCTGACCCCGCCAGCAACGCCCCCAAAAGTGATCAAATATGCAGCTTGTTTTCCAACATGGCCCAATTTCCAGGGAGAGTAAAAACATTAAAACAATAGTTACTATTTGAAATGGATACAGTAGAAAATAACATCTTTACTCTAAACATCTAAGAACTAGATTTTTATAATAGTCTTTTTTTTTTCTTATATGACTAGTTACAAACCTTACAATCATTAAAATATTACTCGTTTATTGGCGACGGTTGCCACAGCGACAACCTGGGCCTCTCTGTTCTATTATTTCATTACTGTTAGATACTCATATAAAACATCTTTGTTCAAAGAAGACAAAACAAAAAGACTAGCGAAATGAACAATATGCATACAGTTCAACAATATGCATAACGTAGAAAATATTGAGTTTACAATTGTAATCATACGAAAATTAACATTACATGGAATTTTAGGGAACTGTGCATGAGGAACACGCAAACACACACACTGAACCTTATATTCATTATAAGAAAGATAAATATAATAAGCCAAACTGAAAATCTGAACTAATATCAAAAAAATCATCCAAACAAAACAATAAAACAATTGTTGTTGTCTAACAAAGAAAACCACAAGAGAGTTAAGAAAACACAGACAAAAAAAAGTGACAGTTACATAGTGCTCTCTCTGTGTGTTAATATGGCGTGGATTAGGCAACTGGATGGTTCAAAATGGCATGTTGCATTGTGCTGACCCGATAATACATTCTAAGGCTTTGGATGAGTTATACAATCGTTTATATTCTTGCCACTTTCCCTGTACTATCCACCAATTGACTATGCCTGAAAAAACACCCAGAATATTAAAAAATAAAATAACATAAAGAGTTCTAGAGATCTACTCCAAACACTCGATCCTTCTTTGGGCTACATATTTTTAAGAATTTAGCCCCACTAGTCTATCCACAACACCTAACAACAGTGACACGAAAAGACTTTGGCTGACTATCTGAAAAACAGTTCTCAGGTAGACATAAGAACAAATACTCTTAAATATGTCTGACTTTATATACACTACACTGAATTTACTTTAACCTGTCTTAAAATATGAATAACGATACCAATGAAAAACAAAATCGGGTCGTACAGGTCGCGTATTTGCCAGTCGCACTGTCGATTTTGACTTCTGTCTCACAGCAGCGTGGATATCATCTGATCCTAACCCTGTGGTGTCATCATAACAGTTTCATCGCTGAGAGAGCTTCTTTGGTCTCTCACCCAGGCTGAGATCTCACAGTCTACTCGTCTGACGTTTAGAGTCAACAGACTTAATGGCCGCACAGAGCTCGGATTACGAGTCAAGTCATTTCACGTCTAAACAACTGACATCAACAACAAAGTTGAAGAAAATAAAATTAAAAGCTAATCATTCAGTAGAAGATTTATGCAAAGCACACGATCCGGGGACGGTCATCTAATCAATGGGCCGATGGTGCTCTTAGGGAATCACGGACAATGACGGGCTATGACATTGGACACTTCATGCTGTCCAAAAGAGAAAAGAGACGTATTAAAGGGAGTCGTTGAGTTGCAACACTTTGTAACACTGCTTCTATACCATTCATGTAGTTTGAGATGTATGGCACTTTACAGGGATGCCTGCAACATTAAAGACATGTGCTTAAGAGATAGAAAGGTAGGCTACAAAGGTTTGAAAGACACCTCACAGACATTCAGTTGCTATTTTGCCTCTGAGTGCACTCATGTAATTTCCCTTATATCAGGTTTAACAAAATCAAATCATTAACAAAATCATTGTGCATGCATATGTGATTCAGTCAGATTATTTGTTTCGTTTTTCCTCAAATGAAATACAAGGTGCACCTTTGTGTAAACAAAAGACCAACAACCGATGAATAAACACGCACAACGTAAGTCATGATTCTTGGTCAACAGACGTACCGATTCAGTCGACCTGTTCAGCGACTGCTCCACACATTTACCTTATGTTAACATTCAAAGTGTGTCTGGTGAATAAAGGTCAGTTGCCTCTACAGAACGCAAGGCAGTCTTTGATGCGATGTTGTTCTTTTCTCTTGTTGTGTAATAGTGTGCATGAAGTACACATGAAAACGCTTCTAACAAACTGTGCCTCCTATGTTAACATGCAGATTTATTCCAAACCAGTTCGGTCCTCCGTTTCGCTCCTGATGTTACGAGCATGGAGGGTGACCACTAATCTTGGACTTGACACCAGCACGCTCCAGCTCCATCTGAAAAGAAGTGCGTGAAGTACAGGAGGTCAGTTGTGAGCAACGGCAAAATGGCGAAGCAAAGCTAGTGAGTTTACTGCTGACTTAGAGTTCAATCAGACAAGAATGCTGATAATAAGCCTCAAAGTTTCTTTCTAAAATTTCTGTCTAAAACAAATGAATGTATGGTTTCCATAGTAACTGTGAATTACAAACTGTACTTGAACCACTCATTTGTTTTATTTATTTGTTTATATATACATATAAAGCGCTGATTTTTTTTTAATGTGCAATCATATATAGAAATACAGCATGTAAGGCAAAAGCTGATAATTTACCATTTTAACAACCTTGAAAGTCAATACTTGGTATGACCACCTTTATTCTTCAACGCTCTAAGGGAAGCTTACTTGCAGTTTCTTCAAGTAATAATAATAATAATAATAATAATAAATTTTATTTATAAAGCGCCTTTCAAGACACCCAAGGGCACTGTACAATAGATAAAAACACATAATAAAGTAGTGTTCAGGAGTAGTTGTACAAGATTCCTGAAGGACAATAATGTGATCCAGGCTTTGGAAAACCACTGAATAACTGGAAAATGTTCCACTTGTTTTTCTATCTGTTGTTACTGCAGTGTGTTTGCGATCACTGCCCTGCTGAAAAGTGAGGCGGATGGTGTTGCACGGTGGATCAAAACGATGATAATTTCATCAGTTATGTTCTCCAACACCAACACCAACACCTCTAAACTTTGACAGAGCCTCAACACTGTTTTACAGGTCCGTAGATGCTCACTGCTGTACTTGTCTTCTGACCTCCTCTTTGCATATTGATGATGATTTGAATCAAAAATTCAAATTTACTTTATAACAGCTTCTTGAAAACAATTCAGCAGATCCATTTATGATGGATCAGCTGAAGTGCAGCAGCTGTGTCAAACTCCTTGAAAACAAAATCTAATGAATGAGGGGTGGCTCGAAACTTTTGTACAATAATGTACGAAGTTATAGTTCGCGAAAATCAAGGCAAACAAAAAGGTTAAATGAAGATCTCTGAGGGGAGGCAGACTATTTCATGCACTGTTACTGAATATTAGAACCCATTAGCTGCACAATTGTCCAATATGAACATATTTCTTAGAAGCACAAGCTGCTTTAGAACAAGATGTGATATTTGACATTTTTGATGTTACTTATCTGTCATCGACATTATTAGTATTTTATTATTTCATATATTTTATTAACTATTTTTAGAGCTTTATATCGACACAGGTTATATCAATCAATTCTATAATACATTGTTTATGTTCTACTTTACTAAAACGCTAAAAGAGCTGAGATATTCACAGCTGTATTAAAAACAAAAGATTTTTTTTATGATTTTCATACTGATCTTAAAAAAATATGTAAAAGTATGCAAACACTGAGCGGCTGAAATTAATTTGATCTAGTTCAGCTGTATGATGACTATCATATCGTAAATCTCATCAGCGGGGAATCAGGAGCGCAAGAAAATCTGATGGATCACTGTGAAAACTTCCACAGTGGCCAAGTCATACAAGACAAACAGGATATTAATTCATCTCTGTTGGCTTGTGCTGTTTGATAGTGTGGAAGCTTATTTGCTATTCCTGGCATGTTGTAGCTGCTGGCAGCTTACAAGCTAGTTAATGTTTCCAGCAACCATTTAGAATCACAACTTTAAATATTGGCAAACATTACTGTATAAATTTCAACATGCAGGGAGGGAATGTAAACAGATAAGCACTAGACGCTCTACTTGGCAGCTTTTAATATATTTATTTATTTATATTTCATTTAGTTTTTTTTAATTCTACCTGTTTTGCTGTGTTTCTGTTGATTATTCTAAGCTAAGTTAAGCAGCTCCTGACTCCAGCTTCATCTCTAACGTTCAAATATGAGCGAAGACGTAATCTTCTCTTCTAACTGCTACCAAGTAAGTGAACAATTTTATTTTGTAAAAAAACATTTCTCCCACAACTCCCCCAAAAAACAAACAAAAAAAAGCTTTTGTAACTCTGTCACATCAGAGGTTTGGAGGTCTTTTTCAGAGAAAAAAGATTTATTGTTCGAATGCATTGTGTGAGGTGCTGGAGGTGCAGTACATACTGTTCTGAGACTTCTACATCTGGGTCACATACTTGTGACTAGTCAGATGGTCTGCAGATATTATTGGAATCTGATTGGGAGGAGAAAAGACAAATAGGGGAGGAGGGGGGAATGGGAAGACAGAGGGAAATAAACAGAAGGGTCTACTGCAATGAGGACAAAACACACTGGAACCACAACCGCTAACAAGCATAAGCATAGCGATCATGTCTATAATCACAAATTGAGATACTTAGAAATAACTAGCAAAGACCAGAGGTGATCCTTGTGCACCACTCATGCATTTTTCATTTCATTCACATTGAAATCGTACGATTAGAGGAGAAAAAGTCAGAGGTGATAGCAGAGGTGAAAGACTGTGAAAGAAGGCAGGAGAGGAGCAAACCTGATTGGCTGTTGCTGTTGCAAAGGGAACACTTGTGGCAGATGTGGTGGCTGCAGACACAGTGGCTGGGGTAGCACCGTGCATCATGGGTACTTGGAGGGGGAAAGATCACACAGGCAGTTGAACCAGAGCAGATTTAAAGCTTTTAATGCTTGACACTTCATTTGTATGTCTGTGTATAGAATGCTGATAAACATGAGATCTAAACAGCTTCAGATTTATTGTCTGCTTTCTAGCGATCTTTAATGTTTTATCTACAAACATCTCAGCAATTTGCGTAAACTCATAGCAACTCACCTGCTGTGGAAAAAGAAAAGAAACGTCAGGGAAATTATTTAAATAGTGGCTAATTGAAAATTGGACGAGCATATCATATCAGGAGGCAGCGTGTTATTTTCTTGGCGGGGAGCATTCAAAACTGAATAAGAGACTTCACTGGGTTTTGCAAAAATTACAGTGCAATCAGGATTGCATAAACTTCACACAACATCTCTATCCTTTCTTCTGCTACCACTGATAAATCCTCATGTTTATATGGCATTTATAACCAGACAGTATAATGAGGCGCTCAAGAGGTTAAAGAGCTTGAAATGTAAGTTAAACAAAGCAGGGGTCAGGGGATTTTGAACTGCAACAAGCATTAGGTGACAGACAGATCTGTGGTGAAGCAAAAAGGTCTACAGTACAGAATAGTAAAGCACATCATTTCCAATTGAAATTACACAAGTATGCTCACAATCAAAATTTGCAATTTACATTTGAATAGCCTGTGTTGAAAAGACACTGAATATCATTTTGAGTACATTTCAAAGTCTAAATTTAAAAAAAAAAAAAAAGTGCTCACTTTATGTGGTGAGTTAAATGAGAGTGACTACAATGGGTTCAAAGATAATCAATAAGGAAAGCTGGCACCTACCAACACTTGTTGCAGGTGTCATGCACAATATCGAGCCTGCCCATCATGCATTGCAACAGGGAGTGGAGTGAATAGGGGGGAGAAGAAATCAGCAAAATGCATTACAAGTGTTACAAAGTCAGACAATATTGGATTCATTCTGGATGTAAACATGTGAACTCTTTCATAGAGTGGCCACAGCTTATTATATAACAGCATTGGTTATTATTACTTTCATGGCTTGCAGTTGCTGTAACTGCACATACTGCATATTTAAGAAAACATATGCATGAAAGGTCTGAGTGGGAAGAGGTGGGAAAAACTGAAAACAAAACAAAACTTGCTGGCCAACCCCAGTTTACTGTTCAACTTATCCATTAAACTGAAGGACAAATTAAACGCTACCACTACCCCAATTTTCCTGTCAGGGCCATGGCAGCTGTTTGTACGGTGACAGGTTTGAATGGCTTGCTTTTTAAGCCCTCAAACAGTGTAGCTGTAGTGATCTGACAGTCCAATAGAGTGGGACATATGAGGATCTGAGGATCTGAATGTCTCACAGATGGGAATCGATGGCAGGCTATTCTTAGGCTGTCACAGGAGAATATGGGGCACAGTTAAAGATGACTATGCAGTGCCCAAAGAAGAACATTTAAAAAAGCTGTCTGTGTGTGTGTGCATTTTGTGCATGCACATGTAGTGTACACCTTGGGTATGATTTAAACTGGCAGAGAGTGAAGAAGTGCCCCTCATGTTCCAGCAGTCGTGGATTGTCTTGCCCCATTTTTCAGAATTTCAGTTCAATTAAAGTCATATCTTGCTGTTTATGTTTATGTTTTTATACCACACAAAACATTTTGAGCCCAAAATGTTGATTTGTAACTAATTTAATTAAATGTATATTTCCCATGTAAATGTAACATCAAATGTTCAACTTAATGAACATTTTAATAAATACTTAAATAAATAAAAACTTTGATTTATTTATCTCAGTTGCATCTTATTCAAAATTACTGCTTCCTGTTTATTAGAATGATCTTTTGAGCATGGTTTATATGTAATACTAAGGGTGTTTTCACACCTGCAGCGCTTAGTTCATTTAAACTCTGGTTTGTTTTTTCCCTCAGTGCGATCATTTGGGCAGATGGGAAAACAGTAATTGGACTCGGGTGTAAAACAATCGCACCAAGACCCTTTGGTTCCAAATGGACTCCAGAGCAGTTCGTTTTTCATGTGAACATGATCCGACCTAACTGCGTTCCAAGTTTGAGCTCAAAAAGTTCCCGTTACCATGTATGCTTTGTATTCTGAATGCAGCAAGGTACTATAAATGTGCCAAAGTCTGTGCAGGCAAACAACTAACCGTGAAATGAATATAAACTCTCCACTAGTCTAGAATGCAGCACCTTCTTCCTGTATTTACTGTTGTTTGTCCAGCCCCAGACTCATCTGGCCAATAAGCAGCCTGAATATTTTCACGTGGTTTATAGTGAAGCATTTTGGTTCACTTGGATTTCTCCGTGTGTGAAAACAAACCAAACCACCGGGAAAAGCTACAAGTTTACAAACTCATGAACTGACTCGGACAAATATAGAAAACAAATATAGGTGTGAAGACATCCTAGCACTGCCTGCCTGTTTATAAATGAAAAAAAAAAAACTTTTGACTATTTCTCTTCCTACTTGTGACACCAAAGTTATGATCATGCAGTACATATATGTGCAAATAACACTGCAAGTTTTTCCCCCATCATTTCACACATTCAGCCAGACAGTGCAGATACCAAACCATAATCAAAGGAGTGTGGAATGTGAATAGGATAACTGCCACAAACACCAGCTAAAGAAGACTCGGACCTTACCTGATGGTATGAAGGCAGCCTGCTGCTGAAACTGCATGTTGGCCAGGGCCTGTTGGTACGGGAATACACCAGCATTGAACATAGTGGTGGCACCGTTGGCTTTTTCAAGTGCAGGTCTCTTTGGTAAAGGAGGCAAGACGGGAGGGAGCCCCTGAAGAGGGGACAACATCAAAACAAAAGGATGGGAGTGAGGGAAATCAAAGTATGGTAGCAGTGACATTCAGGACAGAGAGAAGAAAGAAATTCATTAGAAGATTAAATTGCCCATCAAAACAGCAATCAAATATATTGGCAAGCAAGCAGTGGACTACATTACTTCTGTCAGAGCAGGCGGACAGAGGTGCTAGCTGACAAAAAAATGTGTGACGTATATCTTACGACAAGCATAAAAGTACTCAAGATATTGTCATGAACCTTTTTACATGATTTTAGAATATTACAGTAGATACAGTCAATATTTTGCTGGCTGAGAACTCGAATTTTCCGTAAAGAGAACTTAGCAGCTGCTTAATATAAGCTGAAGCACAGATTGCTGGACCACCAATGGAAATGATGTAGTTAGGGAAAGTCGCGCTGTCAGCTCCATGATAATAGTAAACTATACGCCATGTTAAGACTGTCATGACACCTCTTTACCAGTTATGCATGCAGTATGGGAAATGACCAAGACATGCAAAGACTACCATAGCTTATACCACAATAAACTTTTGCATTTTCATGCTTTGAGATTCACTTAAGGTGATGAACTGACATTGGAAAATGTAGTGCATTTCCAGTTTTGAGCCACTGTCCTTATTCTTCACTAATGTGATTGGAATCTGTTTTTAATCTTAAAACGTCAAACCAAAGGTTACAATCAGTTCATCACCCTTAAGTGCTTTCTCATTTAGTTAGTTAAACACAGCTTCAAACTATATCTATCACACCACAGCTGCATGCCAAGCTAAAAGGTGAAAGGTCATAGTACCAGATCAAAAGTTGCGTCGAGGGGTCGCTTCATTGATTTGACAGCCGACTGAGTCTTAATTAGCAGGCAGCGAGCACATGATGGCAATGGGCCAATGGGGTTCAAGCGCATTAACAAAAACCAGCAAGCGAAGGTGCGTCATGGGGGCAGCAGTGCAGTGTGGGTTGGTGAGGAAAAAAAACAAACAAAAAAAACAAACAAACAAAAACAAATCATTGGAATGCAATATACAACAATTACAAGACTTGTGCATGCACATTAATGGCTTTGGGTTACTGAAAAGAATTACAGCCCATAGCAAACTTTGCTGTCAGAAGAAAGTTTTTATTTTCATGAATGCGAAAATTCTATGCTATGGTCCAGAAAAGATTATTAGCCAATGAATGAGCTTTGATCAAATACATTCATTTGAAACAGACTATAAATATTATCTAATGTGATTCTGCCCTCTGCTCCAGATGCACTGCTTTTCTTAAAGCCTGTGGTGGCTGGATCATGGCAACTGTACTGAAACTAATTTCCTAAAGTGGCACATGACTTTTGGTCCTAGGCCCGTTTTAAGGGTCTTAAACGACTGCAGTTTCCAGTACTTGTGTGATTCTCCTCTTCCTGTGTTTTCTGTTTCATTCACATGATTTGAATATACCATAAAAAATCATTGACATCTTCAGATGTGTTTGTTCCTAAATTGATCCTAGGGTACATGTATGTATCCTATGTCCTCTTTAACAGGTGGGCCAATCTGAACAAAACTTTTGTATCAAATACACTGATTATGAAATTGTAGATACATTTTAAAATGTTTTATTACTAAATCCTTTGTCCTGTCTCTGTCCCATCACCCCCAGCCGATCATAGCAGATGGCTGCCCCAGATGCTTCTTCTGCTGGAGGTTTCTTCCTCTTCAAAAGGATTTTTTCCTTTCCACTGTCGCCAAGTGCTTGCTCATACAGGGTTATCTTATTGTTGGAGTTTTCTTTCTAATATTATAGGGTCTTTACCTTACAATATAAAGCTAGAAAACACCTTGAGGTGCCTGTTGTATTCTCTGTTTGAGTTTGTTTCATGTGTCACAACTAAATACTCAATGAAGACTTTGAAAAAGCGTCACAGGTCTGGCTATTTGTAATAAAAGAAAAAAAGAGGACAATAATTTAGTCTAATTCTATAGATACACTCTAGTAATAATTATCATTGTGCCATTATATTCATACTAATTGCCATTTTATATCCCAGTAAGTTACTACATTTTATTTGGAAAAGATGAGATTGGACATGATAAATGGCAGGCCTGCTCAAATTGTGCTGAATCAATCGAAATAAACAGAAATGAAAGGTTAACTGATATAAAGCTGACCCATATTTTTGAATTCAGTGATGCACAATATTATCTACTGTACAGCACTTGGCGGAGCACGACCTTTTTACTGTCTCTTTAGAGAAACCGATCGCTGCATTGCGGAAACAAGATCCAAAATATGCCGCAGTCTACACAATTGTCTTCTCAGCAAAAAATGTTACACATCTATTGACTGTGAAAAAGCAAAATGTAAAACTAACAAAGCAGCAAAACAAGGAGGAGCAGGCGAGGGGAGGCTCAGTCACATACTAGCACGATTATTGCTGCTGCTAACAAAGCACACATTGACACAAGCTACATCTGTATCGTTTTAGGGCGTACTGAGTCAGAGCTGCAGAGGCACAACGGAGACTAAAGGTTGAGGTTAAAAGCAGGGTAAAATGTACTGGCTCAAGCAACGCTGTCGATACATAGAAAATTATCTCCAGATTAGAGTATTTGTGGTGCAACGCTTTTGCTCCAAACGAAAAAAGAAATTATTTTTGGAAAAACTATACATTTTAAACTTTAATGTACATTAAATGACATTTAGCTTCAATTGCTAACAGCAGGTTGTGAGATTGTAATACTTGGATGTTTCTTAGTTTGATTTGCTTTTGGAGGTGTAATGTAAACAGATACCTACCATGGCTGCAGCAGCTGCAGCTTGGTTGACTTGGTGTTGAGCGGCTTTGATTTTGGCCTGCAGGTGAGCCGGAGGGTGAAAGTACTTGCACTTCTCCCTCGAGCAGCGGCCCTTTATGTAGTCCATACACACGGTGACTGTGTTGTCGTTGGTGTCGATCATGGTGCTATCTGCAGGATGGGCAAAGCGACAGTCGTTCTCCCCACGCGTGCAGTTACCCCTCTGATATTCCCGGCATACCTGGGGCAATGGTAAGGATTTGATCATAAACCTAACACACATACACAGTTACACACATAAGTTACAAAGTTACTGGTGAGTCCACGTGATAAAGCAGTCCATCTGCTCTGTCATTTCAGATGGTATCAGACAAGGTAACCGATCTTAATGATGGGTTCGGCCATTAATGTTGATTGATAAGCAGAACAGATCCTAACCAACTTTTACAGACTCATTAATCACACCGCATTCATCCATTATTTAAATGAGAACTGTTTTTGTTCTTCCTGAGTCTGACAGAAGGGGGCAGCACTTGCATGAACAATTGGGAAAATGCCTTCTTCATTCTGAACGTACAGACTCAATGAGGCTCATGGGAAATATGAAGCTGGTTACCCTCGAGGGAGGCTGTAGCTGACGTAATTGTCAGCCGCTGGCACACAGTAGTAAACACACGTGCGCACACACACACACACACACAAAAGGTGGGTGTATATATATTATAAGGCAGCACTGTTTTTTTTTAAATTTAGGCACTCAAAGAGCCTTGCAATAACTTCAGATCTCTGCTCTCGGCGCTCCATCAGACCGTTGAATCTGAACTGGATTCGAGATGCAATCCTCCACCAAAAGAAATGCAATTTCATGGTGCGTTGTATTGATCTATCAGTTACTGTGATGGAACAAGCCATTTACTAAGTCTGTTTACCAGTCTCCCTGTCTGCGTGCATAAAGGATTTGATTTGTGGTGGACCGGCTGCCAGACAAAAGGCCACCAGCACTGTTATCTGCAAACTGCTCTGTCTCCAGTCCTGACAGCTCATCATCTACGTTCACTGACTGCTGTGAGTGATAGCGTTTCTCCCTTTGCCTGTCCCTTGTTTCTCGTGGGTACCTCTCCCTTTCTCAGATATGTATGCCTACACGTGCACACCACCCCACCACTGCTAACCAGTAACTACTGCTACTTGTCTTGTTTTTTTTTAAACGAGAGACTGCCTTGTTGTCAGGCAGATATTGTAGAGGCGGGTGAGGGAGGGAGGAAACTTGGAGAGAAGGGAAATGTAAGCGTGGTTGACGAATATAGAGTAAAAAGACGAGGATGGAGATGGAGGAGAAAGTGAGAGCCTTTGGTGATGAGGTGTATGTAGGCTGTCATAGGAAAAAAAAAAACAGGGGAGGACTGAATGATAGGATTTGATGTTCTCGGGACCAGATGTCTAACTATCCCCCTGAGCTACTTGCATCACCATGGTTGCAGGTGACCAACATATGACTTTATGCATGCTGACATGTTGCAGCATACCATATGTAAGGAAAAGACAGCAAGACTTCTGGAGCATATTTTCTCAGGAAAACTGTCTGGGGCATTGTCTTCTAAAATTGGAATTTCTCACAGCCTAAAAGGAAACAGTCCGTAACACATCAACTGAGCGGTATGTGTGTCGCTCCACAGAATTCCAGCTATGTTTACTTTGAACGACACACACTGGAAACTGAAATATGACTGGCCCCTTTCTCTAAGATATTTTTAGCAAACCTAGTTCCTTTCAAATTAAGAAACTAGGATATGAAATCTCCTCATCAAAAAGCTTCACCCACACATGCAGCCTCACTACGTCTCCTGCAGCCTGACCACCACAGATGCCGTTGACCAACAGGCCTCTCTATCTAAAAGGAAAACAGTGGAATGAGGAGAGTATTTCTGATTTGGTTGATAAATATTTCATATCCCTTTGCTATCGATCTTTTGCAGGACAAATCGTTTTAATCCTTAGTCTGAATCGAGAGGTGCATGCTCTCCTGCTCGCAGCGTCTTGCCTCCACTTATCCTTAACCTCTACAGCATGACTTGTACTAACGCCTCCATAAAATTCAGTCAGCGGCCTTTGCTTTGTTTCTGGTATCTCTGTCTCTGCCTGCTCCAATCCCTCCCCTGATGACCACAACAGGTCTACAAATTGATTTCCTATCTTCCGCCTCCATCTCTCTTTCCTGTCAGTAACCTGTTCTGTCGCTCTGCATGTTGTCCATTCATTCACTTGGTCCAAAGACTTACTCAGCCTCACCCCCATTAATTACCCAGCTACCCAACATTACATCTTAAATGTAACCTTCCTGCATTCTTGCACGCCTCCTGCCTGCCTCCAACGATTTCCCCATTATTCCGCTGCCACTGTTTCTCGGGTGGGGCTACATAATGGATGAGATTGACTTACTGTCCAATTAATGATTATCTGAACGCAGCTGGAGGAGGGGCACTCATCAGGTTTCAAAGAACTAATTGCTTTCCGAGAAGAAGTAAAGATTTTTCTGAAAATGACATATGTACATTATAACCCGAGCTTGTGCCAGACAAAGTTATCCCCTTCGTATCGATAGTGTCAGCAATGGTAATGTTTGTGGATGCTTTCATTAACATCTTATTCTCTTGTTTAAGTCTGAGAAATAACTCTGTCTTGGTAATGGCATGTAGTTAGTGTAACAGAAATGGTGTAGATACACAGACGTACAAACAAGACTGTTAATATTGAATAGACAGATCCTACGTCTGAAAAGCTTCTGTTAGAAAGGTGTGAAAAAGGTATTTCTCCCAATCGTTTTTTATAATCTGCGAGCGGCAAAGGAATCACAAAAAATTATGCAAATCCTCCCGATGTGCTTTCATATATTTTTTCCCCACTTTTTCTTGCGAATGTGTGTAAATGTTTGTGTTCCTCCTCACCTCCAGTCTGTCTGTCCTCATGAGTTTCTGTGCAGCAGCGGCGGCAGCAGCAGCGGCGGGTATGGGAACGCTGGGGTTGCTGGTGACCAGTACGGGGGCACTGGGCAAGATGTCAGCGGGCATCAGGCCGGGCGACACAGGGCCAAGGTAGGGGTTAAATGCAGCAGCCGCTGCTGCAGCAGCATTGGCATTGGTTGCAAGGCTGGGTGTGACTGAAAACATGGGCTGAGAGCACATGCAAAATAAGAGAGTTGGTCAAAATTGATCCACAATGATTTCTCACAGTCTATGTATAAAGATGCTACATATATAATCACATTGTTTCTTCCTCATATAATTATTACCTCTGGTGGATATACAGCATATGAGGCAGAAGATTATCAGTAGCAAAGCAAAAAATAGGAACTCTGATTGTGGATGTGGAAGGAAAGATGCAAAAACAGATAATTAACAGGCTTACATCTGAGGAAAAAGAACATGGCTGCTTGTCTTTCATTTGCACTAACGCGCAGAGCAAGCGTCAGTATGTGGTGTCACCTTCTTCCATTGATCAGATGGAATCACATGCTTCATACCCCAGATATCACACAGTTAGCAGTACTGATGAAGGACGTCAAGCTGTGTGAGCATGTGAGTGGGGAGAGACGCTTCACTGTAAGATAAAGTACTGCCTGTATGCGTTGTACTGGAGTTTGACAGAGAGAGGAGTATGCACTGCAAAGTTTTCCCTGCCTGATCCTGACCTCAGCCCCAGTCTAAGGATTGTCTTTTGAGCCCCTGCCAACAGGACACAGTGAGTAATAGAGGAGCGGCAGCCAGGGCTGTACTGATACATTCTTCCTAAAACCTCCTCACTGCTCAGCGATGACTCAGAAAATCAGAAATAATTCTTTCGGCACTGCCCTCTGGAATGTCTGAAGAGTTGTTTGCAATCATAAGGTGCTCTGGAAAAGCAGATGTGTCTCACTCCAGGTGCTCAGATATCAGTTTGAGATATTTGCAGCTTGGGGTTTGGATGGAATAAGCATGATGTCATCTAAAACATTTGCGGTCATGGGGTTTTAACTATGCAGTGATATCATCTTGCGAAGAGTTTGAAAGCTTACTAATAGGCCTTTTTTGGAACACGTCAAAGTTTCAGTATCGATATGAAATTGAATATTCGCATTAATTAACAAAAATGTTATAACAGAAACATCTATAATTGCATGCAGGGCTTAATTACAGTTCAGCAGTATTTGTTTTCACTATTCCCAGTAAAATGTGTTATCCTCTCTTTTTCAGGGCATGTTTGCTGTTGTTGTTTTTTGCATAACGGTGGAAAACCTAAAGTTAAGTTTTGCTGAAAAGTCCCCACTACAATTATAATGATCATGATGGTAAAATGTGACGTAACAGTCATTGCACAACTTTATTCATCTAAATTGCGGTTTTACCAATTAGCCACTGAACTGGTTATAATGGACTAAGAAACATACTATATAAAGACATTCAATACATATTGAAACTCTTTGTAAACAAGCTTAAATTCAGATTTGAATATTCTAAGATTTGTACGTCAGACGCACTGACCTAGTTTGACCTTTCTTTGTTGTAGTGCAAACACTTTGCCACATGAGCCATAACTTCAGCTCCTAAATATTTAAACACAGAGATGTGGCCAATTACACCCAGCCACTGGAATGTCATTGGATTGTGGCTTCATGCTTTGACTTATTTGATTTTCAAAGAGGATCTGTACTAAACAGGTCCTTTCCTACTGTGAGTGAGTGACAACCAGCTGTGACAGACCCTAACCACTTCACTGTGTTCATGGTCCAATGCATGAAATTAAAGTAGGTTACCTACATACACTGAGGAAGGATGGATAGCTGCAGATAAAAGAAAAAAAAGGGGGAAATAAAATGTGGTAGAGATACTAAGGGTGGAAGAAGGAGACTGAGCTACAAACACAAGGTGAGGTTAGGAAGAATAAAGTCTGATTCTTAGAAAGGTAAGTACCCGGTTTTACCCTTTGATCCCTGTGCACAGAACATGCTCTATTTTCTTGACTTTTCTTTGTAGTGGAGGTCTAAAGCCATCTCTCCTCACTGCTGTCATCCTATCTCCTTCACTTTACCTACCTGTCTTACCCTGCCCATTTATCTATTTCGGCTGCATTCCCTTCTCCCTTTCTTCTTCTGCTGTGTCCTTCTTTGTCAGCTTGTCTTCCTGCTTCTTCTCTCGTCTTGCTTTCTCTCACCCCATGACATAAACAGAAAGGAAGGCTTTGCTGTTCCAGGGAGATCTATGCTTCTTTAAACCCCCATCCCTCCCAATGGGGCTCTCAACTCAGCCTCTCTTTTCTAGATAGGGTTGATAAGCCATCAGCTAAGTGTGCACTTGCAGATGTGCGTCAAAGCACACTGCATCTTTTGAACTCCTTTGAATAGTGTTAGACAAATTCACTCCAGTGCTCTCACTTAAACATAAAGGGACAGTGGAGATGACAGAGGAATTACTTCAAGCCTGACTGGCAGTTCTCATTGTTTCTGTAAGGTTTCTGGATCGGTCATGGAAGGATTCATTTGGCTGAACGGGGCTGTGGCTATCACCTTGAACATCCTTGGAGCATGTTGCGCATACATAGAGCAACATCTTAACTCAATTTTGTGTGTGTATGTTATACGGCTTTATGGATGTGCTGTTAATCATTTAAAATAATTCCCTTCATTGTCTTATACCAGGACTGGCTATCCATCCATCCATCCATCCATCCATCCATCCACCCATCCATAGTTAGAACCTAACCCAACTGCCTATTTAATCCATTCATCCATCCATTAGTTTTCTATATTATGCAATGTACAAACGAAAGGAAAAGTAAGAATAAACTTTCATCAAATTAACTAATTCTGTCAATTTTCTTTAAGCTAAACATTTTTTTCAAACTCAGTCACAGAACTGTTTTTCATGGCTTTCATGTTTTTCAAGTTCATTTAAAGAACACTGAACAGACAAACAACCCTACCCACCGGCAGTCTTATGATCGGCCCGAGTGCTGATCATATGATTGCCCTTATGATCGGTTTACATTGGACAAATGCTACAAATATTTTTAGGGGAGTTTAAAATCGGGAAAAAAACAACGTTTTCATTAACCCTTACACACTGTTTATACTTCATACCTTTGTAATATGGTCCTATTTGGAATGTATTTGTTTTATTGAATGTGAAACTGGCAAGAACATTCTGGAACTGCTGGGATTTATTATATAACCACTAAACCTATAAACACTGTCTTTATTGTTGTCATTAAGCAAATCCTAGGAAATTACCAAGTATAATTATGAATGTTAATTTAGCAATAATAAACCGTTAGATGACAAAGCACACAAAATTGCTTATTGCAAATTGGTCTGTGCATTCACAGCAGTGGTAGGAAACTTTGTGTATGTGTCACACATGTATTCTACAGTCACACATGTTCCTTTACTCACTGAAATGGCATGGATTCTGGTCTTTATGAGCGTCATGTCTGATCAATCTTGTGCTATTTCACATACAGTGCTTAACAAATTATCAGAACACCCAGTATAAAGTCTGTGTCACAGATGATCTTAATTACACAGCATAATTACCAAAATCACTGCTATCATGGTTTCTGTAGTGATTATTCCACCAGTAAACATCAGCTAATCAAAACTATGCTCCTAATGTTAAAATATAATTGCTGCTGTTATCCATAAATTTTCAAATGTAATGTTTTACAAAAGAGTTGAAAAAATAACTAGAATGTCATTAATTAAGATTAAGACGCAACATTTCAATTATTTACTTGCTGGACAAACAAAAATGTATGTTATGCTTGATTCATTTCTGACTTCTCAGAGAGAAGTCCAGTGTGCTGACTATTTGGGTCTAAAATGTGAATTCAGTTTGTTAGCTGTTCAATAAATACCAATAAAACAAGACAGCTTTCTGAAATATTTGTGTTTTTTTGTTGTTTTAATGACAAGCCGTCAAATAAATTTGTTAAGATCTGTAAAGTGGTAAGCAGTATGTGCTGCACTGACACTCGATCGAGCCAAAGTTTATATTGTGCTGGCTACTGTGCCAAATCTGTACTGTGTAATTTTTTTGTGCCTGCTCACTGTCTTCATATAGAGTATGTGTGTCTGCTTCCCATCATTCATTGTTTCTACTGGTCATGTCAATGCAGAAGCTTCCGAGACAGCATGTTTGCATTGCACCTTGCCAAACCATTCACGCACAGTACAAACCACAGGAAATAATGGTTTTCAGAGGGCAGCGGTGCTGGTGCTGATGTTACATTTCGGGCCCTCTACAGGAACCTGGGCAAATATGGTGGGAACGCAGCTCTCGTGACAGTGTCAGGTCTCATTTGAGCTGTCACTACTGTCCCATAAAAAATTCACACTGACATCACGTGTGTGGTTACACAGTTTCAAAATTCACTAAAACCACCATATTGACTCAGACTAGTGGACATAAAATCCATCTAAATGGATATGGGCCAAACAGAGCCCTCAACTCATTACCACCAAAGGACTGACAAACACAAAACACCTTACAATACTCATCAAAAGACTCAAAAACAAAAAAAACTTACACAAATCCACTACAAACTGTATCTGGGAACAATATGCTTATTTGCACACTCAGTCACATAGTTACTGAACACACATCTAAATTATACATTATTTGCAGATTTTGCATCTTGCACATCTTCGTCTTGTCTCGTCTACAATATCTTGACAATAACTTGAACCAAAGGAAAAAATGGAGTCAAGCTAAGTTCAATGGATATAACTTTTTAGGAAAATTTAAACAAGAGTTTGTGCTGGCCTTTAATTCACTAAAATCTAACTTCTATCCTTTTTTAAACCCTCATATAATTGTGAATATTTTTCTGATATCAAGCAACATTTTAGACCCACTGCTATAAATGACTAAATTCAATTAACATTTCGCAGTTAAATATTTTTTACCTGTTGAAAACAGAACATTTTAGACATATGGTCATTGGTATGGGTATTTATTGTAATAATTATCCATAATTAAGGATAACGGATCTATGCTTTCTTGTTGTTTTCGCCAAATTCTGACCTTACTACCTGAAGGTCACACTAGATATTGAGATTCATCACACTGGGCAAAGTTTTTCCAATCTTCTGTTGCCCACAAGATTGGAAAAACTTGAACTTTGAAGCAGTACCCCATCTACTTCAAGGTTCAAAAGGTTGTGCATTCAGAGAAGCTCTTCTGCGTACTTTGGCTGTAGCAAGTGGTTAGTGGAGTTACTGCTGGATTCCTATCGGCTCAAAGAAGTCTGTCCATTCTCCTCCGACCTCAGGCATCAACAAGGCATTTTGCTGCTCAGTGGACATTTTTCACCCGGCACACAATGCACCCGACCCCTATGGCGCCTCCTGCGGGTGTTGGGCCTGCGGGATGGGCCCATGTCTCCTCTTCGGGCTGTGCCCGGCCGGGCCCCATGGACTAGGGCCCGGCCACCAGACGCTCGCCCTCGGGCACCCTCCCCGGGCCTGGCTCCAGGGCGGGGCCCCGGTAACCCTATCCCGGGCAGGGTAAACTGTTCCCTCAATATTCTTTTCACAAGGGTCTTCTGAATCGCTCTTTGTCTGGTCCCTCACCCAGGACCAATTTGCCATGGGAGACCCTACCAGGTGGCAAAAGTCCCCAGACAACATAGCCCTTGGGATCCCTGGGACACACAAACCCCTCCACCACGATAAGGTAGCGATTCAAGGAGGAGCCTCCTTGGTGAGGTGTTCCAGGCATGTCCCACCAGGAGGAGGCCCCGGGGCAGACCCAGGACATGCTGGAGAGATTATATCTCTCGGCTGGCCTGGGAACGCCTTGGTATTCCCCCGGATAAGCTGGAGGAGGTGGCTGGGGAGAGGGAGGTCTGGGCCTCTTTGCTTAGGCTGCTGCCCCCGCGACCCGGCCTCGGATAAAGCGGATGAAGATAGATGGATGGATGGATGGATGGATGGATGGACATTTTTCAGAGAATTCTCTACAAACCTCCAGGGTTTGTAGAGAGGTGTAGAAAGGTGGACAAGAATATACCTGCTGCTCGGTCTGTGGCTTTTTGTCTGACTCAGGGACCACGGCGTTGTTCTTTGTAGACATATTTTCCTCATTGCCTTGTTTAAACCGCCAAAAATGGTGGTTTAAATTTCGTGACTCACTGACGAACCATTTTGTGGCATGCAGTCTAACGACATCGTATTTTGGTGCCTGCTCGGATCACTTGGAACCTCAGGCGAGCAGGTACTAAAAAAGGTACCTGGTACCAGGCACTATGACCTAATGGAAAACCCTGAAAATGTGGCGAACCGTGCCAAGTCAATCTGAGTAGGTACTAATGGAAAACTGACTTTTGACCATGTCTACATGCCAAAATGCACTCAGTTGATGCTATGTGATTGGCTGATTAGACATTTTTGTTAATGGGCAGTTGAACAGGTATACCTAATAAAGTGTCTGGTGAGTGACTACTCACCACTGGTTGTAGCTGTGTGCCGGGCATCATGGCGTTAGCGAGCTGCATCTGCTGGGCTAGCATGGCCATGTTTTTCTGTTGGATGAGGTTGTTTCTTCCATTGATCTCTAGCTGGGTCTTTAGGTGAGGAGGAGGATGCAGGTACTTACAGTTCTCTCTGGAACAGCGGCCCTGATGGGATGAGAGACGAAGAGAAAGGAGGAGACAAGGAGGGCAAAATCAAGGGAGGGGGGTGGGGAAGAAAGACACATGGGAAGTGGTGGATTAGAATCCTGTTCCCTTTAACCACAGCCTAATGTATAGAAGTAATGAGCCTTGAATTAAGTCGCTTCCCTCCTATTTAACCGGTGCCGACCTCACATTCTTGACATCTGGGCCTGCCACTCTTTTTGCCATAAAGCAGACCAATCAGTTCTGCAGAAGATGTAGGCTTACTACCTTCTCTATTTTCTCAAGGTCCCATTGGGAGACAAATTAGCTCCAAGAGCAGAGATAAAGAGGATTAACTGTCTATCTGCTCCTTCTAAGAGATTGCTTTACACAAAGCAAACATTCAACAAACACAATGTTGCCGTGTGTCTGTGATAAAAGGAACACTTCATTGTCTGGAAATTATTTTTTTGGTTTCATTTGTTTATTATTTGATCAAAATCATGAACTTTGTGATCATAATTTCTTCAATGCTGAAATAACATCTTTAAATTAAGTCTAATTTTAAAAGTAAAAACAATTGCGTTGAAATGATTCGGCATTGTTGGTCTAACCCCAAAGAAAATTTGTTTTGGGAATCTAAATTAGCTAAAGCTCCCCAGTCTCCTCCATCCTACCACCTAAGAAGCTGTTCAACTTGATGCTCGATGTTTTAAAAAGCCCTGTGAATCACCATTGATCTCCACTCAATTCAAACAAATGAGCCATGTGTCAATATGGGACATAATTTCAGTAAAGATGAGGCGGGAGAAATGATGTAGGATCGATACGTGATTGGAGACTCCTGTGACACGAAACATAAACACATTATGGCAATCTAATGCTGTATTATGCTACTATGCTAGAGACTGTGGTCTGTGTCTGTGCGGACTCACTGCTGTGGGTGCTTATATTCATTCTGCAGCCAGCAGCCCAAAGGGAGGAGAGAATGTAATTTACACTCTCATAATGCCTGCTCCACTGAACACTCCCCTGGCTAGGTGTAATATCTTAGATATCTCCACCTCTCTTTCACTCCCCCTTTCTTCCTCATTCTCTCCCTTTCACATCAATCCCCATACATCCTGAGCCCCGTGCTGATATTTGCTCTCCTCATCATGAATACAGAGCAGCGCAAGTGCCGACGTACTGCTGTGATCTGTGTATATATTCATGTATGTGTGCAGCATTTGTACTACTCCTTGCCTTTGTCAGCTTCTCTCTCTGTCTTCTTCTTGTGCCTCAACCACCTCATCAAAATGCATCCTCAATCCATCTATTCCCATTACTGCTTTATGTAAATCTTTTTTCAGGGGGATTGGGAAACCAGCCCTGCGACAACTCCACAGTGTCCCCTCCCATGGGGAATTAAAGGTTGGCTGTCATGCGACTGCTTATCTCAGTGAGATTACCTGCTGCTCACTGTGGCCTACTATGACACCTTCCTTCACAGCCTAACACATACACTCTCCCACTCTGGCTTTATGCTTAACACCTCTCTTCTTTCTCCTCCTTTCACTTCCTGGTCTTGCTCTGTCTCTGCCTCTCTCCCATTTATTCTGCCTAGCTACAGCATGAAAGGTACTTTGCATTGGAGAGCAGCAGAATGTCAAGACTTCATCCAGCATTTTGATTGGCTAAAAGCTGTGAGGACTAGCATTCCCAGCCTGACCATTGGCCCAAAGGCCCACATTGACAATGCTCCAAGTCATCCCTCCCGGTTCATCCCTATGTGGCTGTAAACTATTGATCAGTGTTAATTGGTTAATGTCTTTTGATTTTCAGGGTACATTCCCTCTGGACTCAAGCATGTCAAATCCAGCCGTGTGTGTGTGTGTGTGTGTGTGTGTGTGTGTGTGTGTGTGTGTGTGTGTGTGTGCAATCAACTGTGACAATGCGGCCCCTCAATTACATAAATTACAGCTCTATCTGAGGGCTGTAATTTATTTAAGCTCTTTTTCAGCGGGGTTCCCTGCATCAGTTTTCAGTGGTCAAAGCTCAAAAGGTTTTAAACACTTACACATTTTTAACAAGCCATACTGGGAATAAGCTGCAAAATAATTACTTCAAGAATAAGAAACTTTTGTAAAGGTTTTTAAAGAAGAAAAGGTTTAAGCTTCTGGTAAACAGGTGGTGGAAGTGCTTTTCTATGCCGAGCAAGAATGTAGATGATCTCATGTTGCCAGTTTTTTATCGAAATATTCATATAAAAAACAACTACCTGACATTCTGGTGCTTTTAACTGGCACCACTCAATCGTTCACTGCAGTCAAACAGTGTTATTTTCAAAATAACATGGACAAAATTCTTAGGTTATGTTTTCGAAAAAGGTATTTTCTTTCTCGAAGATGAACAATATCAGCAAATTACGTGGATCCTGATAAAGACAGAATCTGAATTATCGTTTATTGGCTACATTCAGAAAGGTCAGCGCCCTAATATATTCATCCCCCTCTATTTTCACCAGCAGGGCCATTATCTATAGCAGCGTTGTTGTTCTCCAAACAATGCCATGCATGAGTCCGAGGTCCTTGCCAATCATTGTCTGTGATGTTAATGTTTTGGCTTCTCTCTTGTGCCTTTTCACCTGTCTGCCTGTCCTCCATGGAGACGTTAATATGCTAACAGACTACCAGCATCTGTCTCTCAAGCACTCTCCCTACTGTTCCATCTTCTTCTCCTCTCATCTTATTTTTGTCTCTTCTGTCTTTTTCCAATTCTTCAGGTCCAGTTCTCTGCAGCTCCCTGCCCCATTCTTTCTTCTTAAGAATTAAGCAAGTTTCACATGTTTGTTTCACTCTCCAAATAATGGAGGTAGCTATTCCTCAAATCCAGATTCTAACACTTGAACCAATTTACCTTCCCAATATTTTAGTTGAAGCAAAGAATAGTTAAATGGTTAGCACTTTAAAGACAGGAAATCACTTTTCACTATTAAGGTGTATGGAGAATAGAGCAATCTGTTGTTAAAAATCACCTTAGCCTCATTAAACCAGATTTCTCCCATGTTTATTATAGTTCCACACATGCAGGTTATTCTGGTTCGGCAACCAGTACCAACTTTCCAGCTGGTCTCCAGCTTGACTATATAAAGGGGAGAAATCTCATTAGCTTTATCATGCACACCTGTCCCTTGAACCTCCCTGACACTGCCCCTTGAGCTCACAGTACCAAACCTCCCCTGCAGCTGAGCCAGCGACCGAACCACCAAAGTAAGTAACAAGGAAGTCTTGGCCAAGATGTTCGACAGCTACACTGAGAGTTTCTGAAACCCACAGAGGCAATAAGTCATAAGTAATAATAAGTTATAAGTCAGTAGATAAACTGATTGATTTCCAGATTGTGAGTTTAACCCAGAAAATTGGAGTTTTGGTCGAGAGTGCAACATCCTCGACGTCTGGGCAACCACCTTCGGTTGCAAGGTGCAGTCGGAATCCTTGTAGAAACTGCAGTTCCTCTCACACAGATTGCAAAATGTTTACAAATAATTGCTTACTAAAATGCTTGCTGACTTAATAAATACAACAAATTGTTACCAGATTCCAATCAATCTGCCCAAATGAGCAAAACTCGCCTGTGATGAGTCTCTTTCCAACAGTGGACTTAATTCGTTTAAATGCAAGGTTCTGGTTATATTCCTATATAATAGCATGGCTGCCAAGTACCTATGTAGTTTCAGAGCAACAGAGACAGTCAGCAGACTGACTGTCTCTGTTGTTTTATCACCATCTTGACGTACCAAATTCTCTCTGAAAACGGCACATGACTGTGAGTCGTCATAGACCAGGTCCCTAACTTTAACATGGCCATTTCAAGATCGCAAGTTTATTGCACACCGTTATAATAATTCTGTAGCCGGTACAAAGATTAACATATCAATTTGTGTCAGCATACAGTGATAGATAAGTGAGTGGATATAAAAAGATTTTATTCTGAAATCTTTAATCTTAAGGAGACCCTTGGTTGTGACTTGTGGGGCACAGAATTGGTAATTATCTGCTTTTTGTTTTTTCCTAATAAGTGTGTCATGTATTATACAAACTATTACTGCTGTAGTAGTAGTTGTTGTTGTTGTTGTATTATTAATACCACTATTCCATAGCAGTAATTACTGTCAATATGTTTTTTTAACTGCTGCTTTATTTTGTCATCAAATGTAAGTGTATTTTTTGTCATGTCTCGCTCCCATCATCCCCTGGTTCTGAGGTTTCTTCCTGTTAAAGGGAAGATTTTTCTCCCCTTTGTTGCCAAGTGTTTGCTCAAAGTGAATCATTTGATCATTTTATTGTAGAGGATTTACCTTCAAATATAAAGTGTCTTGAGGCGACAGCTGTTGTGATTGGGCACTATATAAATAAAATTTTATTGAACTTAAAATGTATTATATACATAAAGGGATCAAGGGTCAAGACACTGACCCACATGTTTACGAAGTCATCGAATCACTATTTTTGCGTACATGTAAATGTTTTGGGGCACTGTGATCTGAAACTCGCAATGTCGGTCTTACTTGTTGCCTGCGGTGCTTTGACAGCTCTCTGAAAGATGTGCCTGAGGAATTCCAGTGAATAAAACCTGTGGCAGAACTCCTCTCAGAGATTGGCAACAGAGGCAAAGACAAGAACAGAAGAAGTAGAAGGCAGACAGTCAGAGAGAGCTACAGAAAAGCAAAAGGGAGTGAGACAGACAGAGACACAGATGCAGAGTGTGCTTTTCATATTAATATTAATCAAAGTGGTCTGTGCAAGTGATTTCGGCTGTGCCTTTGTTGGCATGTATCTACAGTATATCCTCCAAAGGGCTGAATGGCACATTGCTTTCCACAAAGTCCTTCTGCGCGTTCACTCCCGTAATCACACACTGATTCTGAATGATCTTTTAATCTACCCATCCAGAATGACTCATTCCAACTTAACCACACATAATCCAACAGCATCTGATCTTTTCCGCATTTTCACTCTGTCTCTCCTCTCGGTGTGCCT